CTGCTCTATGCCAAAGATTGGATCTGAGGCATATGCCTGTACTTTTGATCTGATTTCAAAATTTGAACAGGGGAGATAACTACTGAATACTGGTAAGTTTAAAAGTTGCCGCTTTGTTCTTTGTGGTCTAGGAGACTCAGGAATTTAGAGCTCTGTCAGCTTCCACAGGTAGGTGATTTGAGAGTCAGTTTCTGGGTGAAGGCGATAAAACTTGGGGTCCTCGATGTATGTATAAACTACAAGAGAGAGTCCTCAGATCTGGATTTATTGCTAGAGGAAGCCAGAGAAGAATGTGCAGGAGTGTTCACTGTTTTGCTCACTATTTTGTCTGCTAGATAAAGCAAATATTAGCTAGCAGAAGTCTCACACCCTCCTAGCAGTGGGGGGAGGCTTTGGTCTGGAGTTGTCTCCAAAGCAAACCAGAGAAGAAGGTGCAGGGAGTAGGTACTTTTTCCTTTTTGGCATGGAGACTTCCCCTAGCCTGTCTCTAATGAGAGATGTCAGGAATATCTGAGTAGAAATGCAGAGGAGGAGGCCCAGGGGGTGCCATTCCTTCCACTCTCACTGTCAGGGGACTCCAGCCTCTTTTCATTGTGATATTGTAAGGCTGGAATTATTTCAGGAGCATCCAGGAAGAAAGCACTGGAGGGCCTAATCTGTTCATCAAAACAGAAGTTTCAAATCTACTTTGTAGAGAGGGAGTCTTCTAGTCTGTAGTTATCACTGCAAGCCAGGTATTAGTGTTGGGAGTATTAGTGTTGGGAGTATTCATGTGGTTCTGAGCTGTTCTCAGGAGTATTAGTGCTGGGAGTATTCATATGGTTCAAATTGCCTCTGACTTTTTGTCCTTGAGGGAAATCCTCTGATCCCCTGTCCCTGCTGTTCCTCAAGCATGATTAAGTACCAAGCAAGCCCTATGGCATAAAGTGTGTGTGCATATGCATCTCTCTCTCTCTCTCTCTCTCTCTCTCTCTCTCTCTCTGTGTGTGTGTGTGTGAGTGTGTGTGTGTGTGTGTGTGTGTGTGTGTGTGTGTGTGTGTATAAAACAAACCCTCTGACTTCTTGGAAAGAAGCTTGTAGTAGCTTGTAGTAGGGGCTTCCTTCCTTATTGTAAGGTGCTGTGCTCAATATGGGGTTAGTGCATGGAGTCCTTTTCCCATTGCTTATTTTTGTCAGATAGGTAAAGCAAATGTTAGAGCTAAAGAGAAAGGTAGACCCCAATACAATAATAGCTGGATTTCAGCACTCCACTTACAGCATTGAACAGACCTCCCAGACCAAAAAAAAAAAAAAAAAAAAAAAGACAAAAGAACTTTGAACTTAATCTGCACTATAGAATAAATGGACCTAATAGATAAAGAATATTTTATTTTTTGGCTGCAGAATATACATATTTCTTCTCAGCACATGGATGATTTTGAACTGTATAATATGCATTACTGGGTTGATCCAAAATAATTCTAAATTGAGATCAATTTTTATGATTTATATGCTGTGTCAGTTAAAAAATATGGCCCCAAATTATTTGAGGGTTCTTCCAGTCAGGAAATGGGGTCTACCCAGCATCCTGTGAATTTAGCTGGCTTAAAATCATTTCCATAATAGAATACGTAAAAGTGATGCCATGTGGTGTCTACCTGGCTCTTGGCACATAGTCTCTGGAAGATTTATCTTAAGATATTTTCTCTCAGAACCGACCTGTCATTCTGTGAGAAGCCGAAGGCACAGGAAGGCCCCATGTAGTTTCTCTGGTTGACATCTTTAGCTGAGGCGGACATGTGAATGAGTAGTTAAACCTCTAGATGATGGTGTCATTTGAAGCAAAACAAAGTTTTTTAAATTTTGAAGTTCAATTTATCTATCTTTTCTTTTGTTAACTTGTGCTTTTGGTGTCATATGCAAGAAACCATTGCCTTAAAAAAGGTCACAAAGTTTACTTTTGTATTTTTTTTATAAAGGGTTTTATAGTTTTAATATTTATGTCTGCAGTCCACTTTGAGTTGCATGTAGTGTGAGGTCAGAGTTCAAGTTTATTCTTTTATATCTGGATATTCAGTTCTCAGTACTAGTTGTTGAAAATACTATTTTCTACCCACTGTGCTCTTATAGAAAAAAATTGCTTGGCCATAAATGTAAGGGTTTATTTCTGAACTCTCAATTCTGTTCCATGTGTGTATATACCTTTGCTTAGACCAGTGCTACACTATTGATTATTGAATTTTTGTGCCGAGTTTTTACATTGGGAAGTGACAGTCCTCCAAATTGTTTTTTTCTTATTAAAGATTGTTTTGGTTATTCTGGATGCCTTAAATTTCCAGATAAATTTTAGTGATGCCTTCTCAACTTCCTAAATAGATAGATAGATAGATAGATAAATAAATAAATAAATAATAAATAAATAAATAAATAAATAAAGTCAGCTGGTATTTTGAAAGGAATTAAGTCAAATCTGTAAATCAGTTGAAATGTATTGTCCTTTTAACAATATTGTCTAACAATACATAACCATAGGTTGTCTTCTCATTTATCATGTATTATTTAATTACTTTAAATGATTCTTTGTATTTTTAGTATACAGGCCTTTATACTTGATTTTTAAAAAGTCGTTCTTTAACTATTTCATTTTGATACTATTGTTTCCTTAATTTTGAAACTGTTCATTGCTAGTATATACAAATAAAATTGAATTTTGTATATTGATCTTACAATTTGAAATCTTTGCTAAATTTATTTCTTCCAATAGGTTTATTATTTCCTCTTTGGGATGGATTTGTTTGTGTGTGTAGGTGTTTCTTAAATTTCTTTATAAAACATCTGTAAGTTGAGAGTTTTACTTCTTTTCTTCATTTTCCATCCAGATACATTTTATTTCTTTTCCTTTTTTTTTTTGTGGGAATGGGGGGCTAGTTTCTCTGGCTAGAAACTCCATTATAATGTTATGCAGAAGTGATAAGACATCCTTGTCTTGTTTTTTACTTTAGTGGAAAGTATTCACCATTAGGTATGATGCTAGCTATGAAATTCCCTTTCATTTTTAGTTTGTTGAGTATTTTTCTAAAGAAAGGATTTGAAGTTTGCTTTTTTTCAGCTATTGAGATGATTATAAAGGAAATCATTTATTAGTATCACTTAGTAAATCAATTGATTGATTTTTGGTTTTTAAAGTGACCCAGCATGGAGTTGTTAATTTTCACTCTCGTTTTCTTAGTCTTTCTTTTATTTATAAATAAATAAATAAATATTCTTTCTGCTTACCTTAGATTTATTGTGCTCTTCTTTTTCTAGCTTATAAGATGGAAGTTTTGTTGATTGTGGTCTCTTTTTCTCTTTCAGTATAAGTTTGCAGCTGTAAATTTCCTCTAAGCATCACTTTAGGTGTATCCCATAAGTTTTTGTGTGGTGTGTTTTTGTTTTTTCTTCATCTTGACCTATTTTATAGTCTCTCTTATGATTTTTTCTTTGACCCATTGGTCATTTAGGATAATGTTGTTTAAATTTCACTTATTTATGAATTCCTCAAATCTCCTCCTGTTATCGATTTCTAATGTCATTTCATATAGATTGAAGAATAACTTTTGTATGAGTTTAATACTATTAAATTTATCAAGGATTGATTTATGGCCTAACATATTACATATCTTAGAGATTTCCAAGTATATTACAGAGCAACATGTATATTTCTTTTGTTAGATGGAGTCTTCTATGGTTATCCATAGACTTCCAAAGAGCTCTACTTACTTTATCATAGTCCTCAATTCTATTTTCTTCTTTATCTAATGCTTAGATGTTCAGTCTATTATTTAAAGTGGGATATTGAAGCCTCCACCTATGATTGTTGTAGTGTCTATCTGTAATTGCTAACAATTGGGCATGAAAAATCACATACAGGATTTTAACCTGGAGTAGGACTCCTCAATTTTCACACACACACATATTCATACACACGTTCTTAGGTACACATACATACATATACATACAAATAAACATATTTAGAAATCGTGAGTTCTCATGGACATTTTCAATTCCAGTTTATCCTCTCAGGTCTTGTTCTTGCCTTCCTTCATTTTGTGTATATTTATTTTCTTTTTCGCAGTGTAAACCTGACTGAACATTAATAACACGTGTACTCATTTGCTTTATTCTGTAATGCTCCTCAATTTGCTCTAGAATTGCTTTGCTCATAACACTAGAAAAACCAATTTACTAAAAATATTTTGTGATTTTATTTGCACCCTACTCTCTTGACCAAGACTGAGGATATTTGTCAAGTTTGTATTCACAGATTACTTGAATTAATGTTTTGTTATTTCCCTCAGTAGGTTCACTTATTTCTTTGAGTTATAGTTTCCCTAATTCTATTGATTTTTGCTTTATGCATATATATGTGTACATATATATACACATATGCATATACATATATACACATATGCATATACATATATATACATAGGCATATATATGTATATGCTTGTGTGTGTGTGTGTGTGTGTGTGTGTGTGTGTGTGTGTGTATGTTTTGGAACTGTGCATTAACTTACTTCCCAAAGTGAAAAATATGGAAAACGTATACTTAGAGCAGTTTCATTCCTCCTGTATCTCTTCTTTTTGTATTTCTCTGTTAAAGGTAACTGTCTATATTGTTTTCTGGTTTATTTTTTTACATTACAATTCATGAAGGTAATTTTCTATTTCAATATTTTTCTTCATCTGCCCTTCATTCTTATCTAAAAAGTAGCATTCTAGATATGCATTTTTTGTTTTCATTTGTTTATTTGCTTTCTTCCTACTTAACATTATGCCTGGAAATAATAAAACAGCAACATACACCTATTAAAACTTCTCACAATTTTCATGTGAGATCTAGCTTTATGGTAATTTACTCATGACTTTATAAGAATGAGAGAAAATGCTACTGTGCACATGTTTAAAATGTGAGATATGGAGACTTCACAATAGATCTCTTTTTTTTATTTAGTAGACTAACTGAATCTTTTTTTGTAGCTGACAGTGAAGTTCCATATGAAAATCTTATGGTTGAAAATAAAGATTCAGTAACAAAAGTCCAAATAGAACAAATGAAACAAAGAACTTATAGTATGGAAAGACACAAGGGTAAGTATAATAATTATAGATAGCTTTACACTATTTTAAGTTAAAACTCATCAGAAGGTCTTTTTTTTTCTTTGGGTCATGATATTTGAACATACAATTTGTAGAAATTTTGTATCTGAACCTAAATGTGAACACTGCAAAATAACTAGAGAACTAAAGTGCAAGTTTCGATACTTTTGATTGCTATTTGCATGGTCAATAACTTTTGATTGCTATTTCCATGGTCAGTTACTACTATTTAACAAGATTGCTTTCACACACGTTTATGGAAACTATTCATGAGAATTTTATACTTCACGTCCATGGTCTGTTTTTAACAAATAGCTCACTGCTGTAACTTCCTAATATTCTTTTAATTTTTTACAAATGAGAGGATGTGTTGCTGATTACTTGACATATACAGAAGTTTTATCATAAATCTGTTTTTCTATTTAGCGACTCTTATAACTCCACAATTGCCCGAGGATGTGGTTTTAGTTTCAAGAAGCCAATCTCAAACTAAAAATCTTGACGCTACCAGAAATGAGAGTTTTCATTGTAAGTAGTAAGTTTAAAATGTTATAAAATGTTTTTTAATTATTTAGTATATACTTCTAGATCTTTACTGGTGTCTCTGTAATTACTTAATTAGATGTGTTAATTTTTCCACTATGGTTGTGAATTTCTTTGTTCCTTTTTATAATAGTATCAGCTTTTACTTTATATCTTATGAAATTTTATCATTAATGTACATATAAATTTAAAATTAACAGTATTACTGGAAGAAAGAAACTTTTGTCCTAATGAAGGCCAGGCCATGAAAACCTATAAGAAGTTTTAAATATATACTGGAAGCCCTAAGCCAGCCACACAATACATATATGACTATTCTCAAATTTTACTCATAGTTCACTGCACTATGTCCTAATTGGCTTTTGTAACACAGTGCAGTAAGTCCTTACTTAATGGCATCAGTAGGTTCTTGGAAACTGAAACTTGAAGTGAAACAATATACTGCAGGTCCTTGAATTGTTTAGTTAACTATTGTTTGGTTACAATGGGAATAAGAAAAAAATTGATTCCATTATATACCATTTTGATTAAAGTCACAATTTCACGGAATCAATTAATGATGTTAAGTGAGGTCTTACTCTGTACTAGGCAACCACAAACAAAATCAATCTTCATTTGCATATGTGTTAGCCGGGTCATGCTGCAATAACAAAATCCCATAGGTTGAATGACTTAAATGGAAACTTAGTTTCTCAGTCTGGAGGCTAAGATACCAGGGAATTTTATTTCTGGTGAGGGCTCTCTTCCTGACTGGCAGACAGCTGCTGCTTTATTGTATCCTCATATTACCTTCCCTTGGTGCTTTTGTGCAGGGTAGGGATGGGGAAAGGGGAAGAGAGACTGAGATCTCTGTTGTCTCTTATAAGGACACTGATCCTGTAGAATCAGGGTGCTGCCCTTATTACCTCATTTAACCTTATTTCCTTAGTGGTCCTATCCCCAAGTACAGCAACACTAGGCTTTTAAGGCTTCAACATATTAATTTGTGGGTGATACAGTTGGTCCAAACATGTAAGCTGGAACTTCTTTACCATTTCTTAAATTGGCAATTTTAAACTGAGAGGTGACTACTTTATCATTTTTATAGTTTTTGTTTGTTTGCTTTGAAAACTATCATGTCTCCCTATAATCCCAGCATTTTGGAAGGTAAAGGTAAGTGGATCTCTTGAAGCCAGGAATTCAAGGCCAGCCTGGGCAATGAAGTGAGACCCTCATTGCTACAAAAACAAAACAAAACCCGAAACAAAACAAAAACTATCACATCTGCTATTCATATAACTCTACCAACTTTCTTCTTATTGGTATTTGCATGATACATTTTATTTTTCATCCTGGTAACTTAACATTCCTGTATCTTTGTATTTTTCTATATCTCTTGTATAAAGCTTATAGTTGTATACTTTTCAAATTCAGGCTAATATTTTTGTCTTTTAATTAGCACTCATCATCACATTTAGTCCTATTATTGATATTTCTGTTTAAGTATGCCATTTTCTTTCTGCTTCCTATTTTATCTGCCTGATAAGATTTTTTTCTTTTTTTACTCTTTATGCTCTGTTACTTAATATCATTACATATTTTTTCCTTGGACGAATGATACCAAATATTTTAAACTTTATTCTAAAGATACCTCTGTGTATCTAAAAAGTAGCATAAAGCTTATACTTCAACTAGATGGTCTCTATTAATAGTTTATTACCACAAAGTGTGATTTACTTATATCATGTGAAGTGAGACAGTATTATTTAGTCATATTTTGCCTTACACTTAAAACTGTTAGAAAAAAAAGACTCAGCAGTAAATATAATGATGAACCCTATGAAATTATTTTTAATTAAAGTTAATTTTGAATAAGCAGAATTTGGTTTATGGATGTGTATCATGTTAGGACTGCACAACCGTCCATTACACTGTGCTATTTAAAGTATTATTTATTTTTTGATTTCCTTTCATTTTTTGTTACTTCTGACATTTACTAACAGAGGCATGTTGAATTCTCCTATTATTTTGGTTTATTTACTCTTATAGTTTTGTCTTCTTTTTAAATGCTGCTTATGTTATTGGTGTGTATGTATAAAAATACCGTATTTCTGTCAAACTCAACTGTTTCATTTTATGATAGCAACCATCTGAATCTCTGGTAAGGTCATTTGCCTTAAATCCTATAGTGTCTGACATTGACATACTATGGTGATTTATTTTTGTGAGTATATATGTTATCTTAGGGTTGGAATGTTTCTTGTTGAAGATGTCATTTGTGGCTTATGGTCATGCTGACATTAGCCATTAGGCTGATGCAGTTTGGGTTGGATTTAGGTGGTTTATTTTTATTAAGGGGAACTTTAAAGTGGCAGTGCTTTTCTAAGATGGCAGTGCTCTGTTAGAAAAATCTCCAGTGTTTCTTTGTTTTTGTTTTTTGTTTTTTTGTCTGGATGATCTGAAATTGTTGTGTTGAATTCCCCTCCTATTACTGTATCACACTCAATCTCTTTTAGTCTGTTAATATTTGCTTTATATAATTAGGTGCTCCAGTGTTTTGTGTACATATATTTATAATTGTTATATTCTTCTATCGTATTGATCCCTTTATCATAATATAATGGCTTGATTTATATTGTTTAAAATAATTTTTAACTTAAAGTGTATTATATCTTATACAAATATAGGTACTCCTGCTCTTTTTTGGTTTTCCTTTGGTTGGAAGATCTTTTTTCATCCCTTTCCCCCTTTTTTTTTCAGTTTATGCATGTTTGTGTGAGGGATGTGACACTACTTTCTGCACTCTTTAATGCTCTTTAATGAATCTTTTCTTGTTATTATGCTAAAACCAGGAACTGTGACCTCTCACCTAATTCCTTTAGTTCTCATGAAGATGTTTTCTTGCATGGAAAGTCATTCAGTTTGATGTTCCTGTGAATCAGTAGGGTTTTTCTTCCATCTTCCTCTGATGATTCTGTCTCAAAGCCTTTCTTTTTATAGCTGAGAAAATGGGTGAGTTTTTTAAACCAAAGGAAAAATCTTATACCTGAATATAAAATTTTAAACTCAAAAAGCCCGTCTCCAATTACAAATGTTACAATTTCTAGAAAAAATGTATATGACAGTTTGACTATGATACATTTGTATGGATTTCTATGAGTTTATTTTTAAGTTTATGAAACTTCTTGATGTGAGGATTAATGCTTTGACAAAATTTGGGAACTTATAATTCAGTATTTCTTATTTTTTTTTTTCTTCTCTTCGTCTCTTCTCTGTCTGGAATGCCCATTATGCATATGTTGGTACACTTGGGTGGTATTACACCAATTTCTGAAGCTCTGATAATCTTTTTCATTCCTTTTTCTTTATGTTTCTTTGACTAGGTAATTACTTATTTGTCTTTAATTTCACTATTTTTTTGCCTTTTAAAATATGCCTTTGATTCCATCTTTCCATTTCAGTTATTGTGGCTTTCAACTCTGTAATTTCTATTTGGTTACTTTAGCAACTTTATATCATGCTATTGATATTATTCACAGTGAGATGTTACTACACTTTTAAAAATTGTTTAGATATGATTCCCTTTAGTTATTTGAATAGTTTTATGGTAGCTGATTTAGAATCTTTGTTTAGTAAGTCCAACATCTGTGCTTCTTCAGGGAGAGTTTTTATTGATTAATCTACTTTTCTTTTGTGTATTGGCCATTTTCTTGTTTCTTTGCATGTCTGATAATTTATTGTTTAAATTTTAAATAATATAATGTGAAATTCTGAAAATTGGATTACTTTTTTTCCCCAGGGTTTGTTATTTTGCTGTTTTTGTTATTTGTTTGATCAGTGCATTTCTTGGACTAGTTTTCTGAAGTTCGTATTCTTTGTTGTTTGCAACTACTAAAGTCTGGTGAGTTAGCTTGGTGATCAGCTAATGACTAGACAGAGATTTCCCTATATTTATTGAATTAATGCCTCTCACCCTGGTAGAGGGGCTTCCTGTGTGTCTTGAGACATGCTTTTAATGCTGAGGTAAGAAGTTTGTAACTCTGCCTTAGCCTTCATTTTCTATTTGCTAAGAACCTCAAGGTCAGTTAGAAGTGAGAGATTTGGGAATATTTATGTTTTTTTAAATGTGTACACAGCCCTACATATGAGTTTTGTCTGTTAGATTCCCTGGAACATGTCAGAGCTTTATAGAGCCACCTCTTATGGACATGTAATTTCCCAGAATTTTTCTTTTTGAAGTTTTGATGGTCGGCTCCATCTTGTAATGCTACATCACACACCTACTATGTTAAGCAGTTACCACTGATTGTTTTTGACAAATGCCCTAGGGTTAGGGATATTCTGCACAAAGGAAACTCTAAGTTAGGTCAAATAAATATATACATTGACTGCACATCTTTTCAGGAAGCTGGCAGATACATCATCAAATAGTGGTTATTCTCTAGGAATGGTGCTTTTAGGGACTTTCAAACTTATTTTATCCTCTCTAGTAGTTGTTAGGCAGCTAGATTTTACAGCTATTGTAGTTGTGAGGCTGTTGGTTGACTGTGCTACCAAGGACCTAGAAAGAGGGGAATGGAACAAGGACATATTAACATGCTAACTGTTACCAAGATCAGCCATTAAAAAATGTATTTGTTCTATAATGACTGTACACACATTTTCAATTCCACCAACATTGTACAAGGGTTCTCTTTCTCCAGATTCTCACCAACATTTGTTATCTTTTGCCTTTTTCATAGTTGTTCTAATAGGTGTGAGGTGATATCTCATGATTTTAATTTGCATTTCCCTGTTGATTAAAAATATTGAGCATTTTTTTCAAATACTTATTGATCATGTATGTGTCCTCTCCTGATAAATATTTACTAGATTTTTTTGTACATCTTTAAATTAGGTTGTTTCTTAATATTGAATTGATTGCATTCCTTATATATTTTGACTATAAACTCCTTATTAGATCTGCAATTTGCAAACATTTTCTCCCATTCTGTAGGTTGTCTCTT